GGTTATAAGTGAGGGATACTGAAGCAGAATTCCAAGATACTAGAGACTCTGGGTTTTTGCAGGCCCCTTTGTTCTTACATAGATCAATAGAAACTGATTTCCATTTATAAGTATACATAATCAAATTTTGATTGTAAGTAAAGCTAGAGATGAGGGGGTGGGGCAATTCCATCCTAGTATTTAGTAGGCCTGTGGAGATGAGTATGTGGAGTTCAGTATTCATAAAGCTGATATCTGCCTCTTGTTACAAAGACTACCATCTAGCTTCATGATCAAATTAACAAAATATGCAATGAGAGATGAAGTGCAAAGAATACCAATCTAGGAAACACAACATCAGGACTGCAGTATGGGCTTTGACACTTTACCAGAATACCAACTCCTTTCAGCTTCAGTTTTCTAATCTAAGTAAAAGGAAGGTGATGAGAGTAGAAAATTAGATGAGGGCTACACAAGTGCACCATAAATGTTACATAAAATGTTATATAAAACATAAGTTTCTACTTTATTCTAATAGAAAAATGCTAATTATTCAACATTAATAATTATCATTTGGTAAAATAGTTTGGGTATGACTTTTCTAAGAACTTATTTGTATGAAGGTAGGTAAATTTTAAAAGGGGGGCCTTTAAGAAAACATGGGGTCTCCAACCATTTTTCCCAAAGACTGGGAAATCAATGACGGAGGTGGCACAGGTAGTTACGAAGTGGAGTGGGGATGGCACAAGATGAGGAAGCAGGTTTTTTTATGAGACTTCTGACTACAGAACAGCATTTCTAAAACCTTAGCATGCATCAGACCCACCTCAAGGGATGGATAAAAAACATTGCAGGGCAACACACTTAGAGTTTATGATCCAACAGTCTGAGGCGGGGCCTGAGAATTCATAATTTTACCAAGTTCTCAGGTGATACTGATGCTTTTGGTCTTGAAACCATGCTTTGAGAGACACTGCTGTAAAGAAGACCATGGCAGAGAAAGGAGTGAAAGGAAAAACCTGTCTAGCAGAGGAGATCTTAACTCTTAGATATCCTGAAGTTATATAATAAAGCTTTATGTGTGTGTATATATATATTTTAAGACAGTGCATCTTTTTCCTTCAATTTAAAAAACTGTCAGTGATCTGAAAAAGGTTAAACACCAGTTGTTTGGAAACTTATTTTAAAGAGTCAGGATCCATTAGCAATTGTGCTGTATTGTTGAGTGACTCCCTGATTTAAAAAATTAAAAAGCCATTTAGTGTTACTACCCAGTACATTAGGATAAACTGAAATATATAGGAAATACTTACATTGGCTTTAAAGCGGTACTATTAAAATATTTTTTTTAAAAAGCAACACAATCTATTAATTTCTACAAAGTGGTAATACCCTTAGTGATTATTCAGCAAGAAAGATGAGGTAATTTAGTGTTCTATCTTTTCAATTTTTGCATATCTTTTAAATCATGATTTAAAGCCTTTGTTCTAATATGTAAAGGAAAAATAACAATATTCTACAATATCATTGTCCTTAACAAACAAATTATAAGTATTGTAACTTTTTACAAAAAATGTTTCAGTAGATCACCAGAAAAGTGTCAAGGAAATAAAAGTCATAATTCTCTTTTGGAAAATTCTTAGTCCAATCATTTCAGATACAGTAAAGAAAATGTCAAGTACTGAACTATTTCCTAAATTACATTAAATCATATCACATAATTCAAAATTTGTCACATTCAAATGTAATAAAACATTAAACTTTTATCGTGAAATAAATGCAATAGTACTAGATTCAAATTTCTGGTAAAGCTAATTAGAAAGTAAATGTCAAAATTATTTTACTGATCTTATCCTAGTGAAAGTCAGCTGAGTCTCATTTGAGTTTCACCAAACACCCTGAAATATTTCCAAAGCCACTATCTGTGATAGAATTTAAATATGCTTTGTAAAACACATTTTTTTATCCTTTGAAAGAATTTTAACATTCACTTTCATGCAAATTATACAAATATTTCAAAAACAGTGATATTTCAGAGGCTATATTTCTTAAATCAAAGTGTAATGTAGAATACTTAATTTAATAAATTAACAATGAGATTGCATACATCTTACATAAACATATTTTTAAGAAATAAGTCATCAGGTCCTGTTGCTATACCAAATAGGAAATACTTAGCAAATCTTAATGGGCCAAGGGAAAAGGAAGAAATGTTATAAAGAATTAAAAATCTATGACCCTTTTCTAAAATACCATTCTTTGGTCTTATTCAAGGAAAATGTTTCATATAATAAAACCCATTTAGTTCTTTGTTATCTGTTAATAAGATCTATTGTAAACCACATTATATTACAATCATAAAAAATAATTTAAGTTATTCATTTTTTTCAAGTGTTTATGCCAAAGATTACCCAGATGGTTAACAGTAGAAGCAAAACAAGAAACCATGTTTTTCATTAATATTACATAGAACCCTCTTGAACTACCCTATTCTATGCCTTAATGACCTCTAACTGAGATGAATAAATAGTAATGTACATGGTATCCCTACTTCTATAAACTCATTTTGCACAATTTTATCAGATGAATGCTCCAAAAGCTGTTTTTCACACAATGAAATTCTCTTAAAGTAACAGTGACAAAAACAACTAACATTTAGAGGGTACTACCTATGTGTCAAGCACTTTAACTCATGATATAATTTAACTTTCATAACAATCCCATGATGTAGGTCCCTTTATTACTTTCATTTGACAAATGGGAAAGGTAATGTATTGAGAGGTTTAAGTGACCTACCCAAGGTCACACAGCTACTAAGTGGTAGAATAGAATGAAAGAGGCAGACCTATTCTGGAAGCCACATTCCTAGCTATTTTATTACATTATATCTACATGAAAATATTCTTATTGCCTATAGCATTTAATCCAAGCTCTTCTCTTTGGCTTTAAAGACTTCAAAATCTGATGTAACCTTAATCTTACTACAGTTCTTTGTATACCAGTCCCACTGGACTTACTGTTCTCTTCTATACAAGTCATGTTCTTACATCATCGTTATTCTCCTCTTACACTGAATGCAACTATAATTGGTCTATACTATACATTTTGACCTTATACAGCATGTAGTTGGATTTTAAAGAAATACACTCTCATGAGTATTTATCTTTTCATAAATAAATTTAAAACATTTACATTTATAATGACAATCAGACCTGCTTAGATTCAAATCCTGACTTTGTAAACTATTCATTGTGTGACTCTGGTTAAGTTATATAATGTCCCTCTGCCTTACGTTCCTCACAGTAAAATGCGATAAAACAGCACCCTCTTGTAGTGTTAATGTGGTGATTAAATGAGTTAATTAATGTAATTTTAAACTTCTTAGAACCCTTTCCCACTGGTTCCTTCACTGTGTCATGAAGCTTTCATGACTGATAATATATCTACTTCAAATTATAAACAAATTAGTTATAGTTTATAGTACAATACAATACTACAGTATTCTGATAATCACAGTTGATAAATAGAGATAAAAATCTATATACAAAGAAACAATTCAAAGCTGAGATTCTTTTCCAGGGTAAAGGAAAAAGGAATATAAGCTTGCTGGAATAGGTCTTTTTGTATATGTGAAAAAGAATATTATAACAGACTGAAAGTTTCTGTCCCCCCAAAATTCATATGTTGAAACCCTAAACCCTGATGTGATGATATTTGGAGATGAGGCTTTGGGGAATTAATTAGGTCATAAGGGTGGAGGCTTCATGATGGAATTAGTACCCTTATAAGAAGAGACAGGGGAGAGTTTGTTTTTTCTCTCATTCCTCTCTACTATGTGAGGACACAGCAAGAAGACGGCCATCAGCAAAACAGGAAGCAGGTCTCACCATACACCAGATCTAATAGCAACTTGATTTTAGACTTCCTAGACTCCAGAAATATGAGAAATAAATACTTGTTGTTGAAGCCATCCATTCTATGTTAATTTGTTATAGTAGCCTGAATTAAAAGAGAAATCTTTTTTATGTTAGGGAGTAAGATGTAGGAAGTTCTAGGAAGCCTACCTTTTATCTTCAAACAGAGAATACTTTTAGGTTGACTACCAGAGATTTCTCTATATTGAGGGTTAACAGCAGGGAGAAACAAAAACAAAAACAAAAACACTTTTCTTTCTAAATTCCTATAGAGCTCTAGTGAAATCTTTTCCGATGCCAAGTTCTACACAGATTTTTTTTCCAAAAAGCTAAAGTGAATCTATATAAGATGCTCCATATTTTTTGTTTCTATCCAATGGATCTGAAATGACATGGATTTTAATGTTATTTACAATGGTCCAATTACTCAGCAAGAGATGTGTTGATTTCCTTTTCCTCTGCTTATGATTTTTCTACTCGGTAACCATCCTTCCCTTACTTGTAGTAAATGTGTTACAGATGGAGCTGAATCTATCCCCAGCTCCGGGTTAGGCATTTGGCTAAAGCCCTAGCCAATGACAGCTTTGCATACCCTGCCCACAGAACTAGTATGGGACTAGGCATAAAACACAAGCCATTCTGTATGAATCAAAGCTAATCTCAAGATTTTTTGCTTGAGTTGCCAGGAAACAGGTGTTCTTTCTGTTGGACTTAGAACTCAGAGGATATAAGACTTGGACTGCTGGGGTACCACCACGTGTAGAGGACCCACCCAAAAGTGAAATTAATATGGAGGATGTACACATACACACACAGACACACACACACACAATATGACTAGAGAGGTCGATAAATAACACAAGCTGAGATCCTAATGACAATTTTAAGCTCCTGCTAAGCTGACTTAATGCTAGCTACCCTTGGATCCTTCAGTTACAACAGCCAATTAATTCCTATATGGCTTAAGCTACTTTAACTTGGGTTTTCTGTTATAGTTATGGTTTACAGTAAACTGTAAGACTCCTGACAAATGTATACCTGATGGAAGACCCACTCACATTAATTAAAAAAAACCCACATATATATATATATATAGTATTGGCTCACCTTTTGGTTTAATAAAGCACTTGCCAATTTCTGTACTTCTGAACTCAATAAGGTGGCTCCTCTGATGACTTTGCTGAGAGCAGCAAGAGACTGATGAACACTTTGTACTAAGCGAATGGCATTAAATTGTTCAAGAACAATGAATGATAATATTGGAGATCCTTGTCGATCATTAGGAGGCAACACTTTCTGATGAATCAGGTTTGAATTCTAAAAAGATAATACATCATGTCATATTTACTGAAAAGTAACACAAATCACTGATACATTAAAACACTCAAAAGTTATTAAAACCTTTTGCTGGTATATCTTGTTTTGAAATACTCTCTTTTATGACTGGCCAAATTTATTAAATCTGTAAATACAAAGGAAGGGAATTCTGCAGTTCACCAACACTGAAGTGGTGTGGGGGTGGGAACTGAGAAAAGGGAACCATGCTGAGAAGGAGCAGTCAATATAGGTGGAAAATGGTAAGAACGGCACATTGTAAGCCAATGCAAAGAGAGCAGCACAGCTAAATTACCACTCTACCGCTGGAGAGTGGTAAGGAGAGCAGAAGGAATCATGGCTATGAAAAATATGTGAATGGACATTTAATTCAATTTGAAAATTACCTGTATATATATTTGAAAAATCACACCAAAGATCTTGTACCAGTGAATATTATATCTTAGTATTTATTTCTACGTCTATACTTTAACAGAGGCTCTGATACATGGAAATTCTAGGGCTTCTCAAATTGTTAAGATAAACTCAAGGAATCCCAGATGTTTCTCAACAACTTATGTGGTTAGGAGGGAAAAAAATCACCTTCAATAGTATTCTAAAAGTGTCAAAGAACTGTCAAGAGATAAATCTGGGAAGACCTGTACTCTGACCTGCTCTACATTATCTTAATTTTCTCTATATATTCTGCTTACAATCCTAGTTAAGGATCCCCTCTCTTTGTTCTAATGGTTGTCACATTCATATCTTCCATGAGAGCACTGTCTCTTTTTCATGTATCTGGCATGATAATTTAATATCATAAAATGGTGATCTAGCATGGCTATTGCCATTAAATAAATAATCATGAAATAAATTTTATTGGTATGAGATAATTCCTGAGGATAGATTTAGGCTATGAGTTCAAATTTAGGCATTTTATTTCTATTACTGCTATATTTAAAATATTAAAGCTGCTGAAATCATTTTTGATAGACATAAAAATGTACATAAATATACCCACTTAAATAAATAAATGGCGGTGAACTCAAAACTAAATCTAGAAGAGAAAAAGAGTATAATATTATGAAAATTAATTAGAATTATTACCCCCTAGATTGAAATTAACTATCTGAACCAGAGCATGCAATAAATAACACTTAACACATCTCCAACCTCAATCAATTAAATAATAAAACTGACATAAAATTTAGGTTATAGACTTTCCATAACTCCTTATATTAAAAACCATTCCTGGAAGTGAATGATATGTGGTACTTAAATCATTATCAATCTTATACTAAGACTGGCAAAGATTAGCAAATAATAATTTAGTTTATGGATTTTTTTCCATCCTATTAAACTGATGAGACAAATTTGCACTGTTTGCACTATTTATAGAAGAAGAACACCCAAACTTAGGTCATTCAAGCAAGATTCCACTTCTCTATAATGTAAGAAAACAACAAACTTACCGAACTGTTAAAAAGGCTGATTTAGAAGAGTAACTATCAAAAATACTTAAAATTCAAATAGAGTTCAAGTAAGAACTATGGTCTAGAGATGTGCAGTTAGTGTAAACTACCAGATGAATTTCAAAGACTTAATATGAAAAAAGAATGCAAAATACCACATTAATAATTTTTTATATTGATTACATGTTGAAATGCTAATATTTTAAATGTATCAGGTTAAATAAAATGTATTATTAAAATTAATTTCACTTGTTTCTTCATATTTATTTAAATGTGGCCGCTAGAAAATTTTAAATTACAAATATGGCTCCCATTTGTGTTTCACATTATATTTCTATTGCATAGTGCTCGTCTAGAAAATATCAAGTAAAATTATGTAAGTTCAGCAATAAGAACAGAAGGACAGAGGAGAAAACAGCATATAGTAGGGTCTCAAAAAGTGTTTGATTAATGAAAGATGAAAAAAATTGTGAAAAAAATGAATAGTAAGACACACTGTGATATAAGCTTTGATAAATTAATGACAGAAAAATATAGCAGAAGACATCAAAGTATATTGTAATATATATTATAATGTAATCCATTTCCTATAGGCCTTCACAAAATTTTGATAAAAAATTAATGTAAAATAACTTTAACTCAAAAATAAATGTAGGGCTTCCCTGGTGGCGCAGTGGTTGAGAAGTCCGCCTGCCGATGCAGGGGACACGGGTTCGTGCCCCGGTCCGGGAAGATCCCACATGCCGCGGAGCGGCTGGGCCCGTGAGCCATGAGCCTGCGCGTCCGGAGCCTGTGCTCCGCAACGGGAGAGGCCACAGCAGTGGGAGGCCCGCGTACTGCAAAAAATAAAAATTAAAAAAAAAAAAAAAATGTAGATACCTTATACATTCTAAAAGGATGAATTATAGAGATTTATAGCAGTAGTAACATGTTAGAGTATTACATAACCTTAAAACAAAAAAACTTAAGTATTATTTACAATTCAAATAGCTAAAATCACCATGAGTAAATTATAACTCATCATTATAGTATGCTTTTTAGTGAAACTATCAAGGGATGACAGTCATATCTTTAGTCAGTTGGTTATAAGAAAATCTTTTTCTTTTTTCACAAATACAATTGATTGAATCGTGTACTTTTTTTTTTTAACATCTTTATTGGAGTATAATTGCTTTATAATGGTATGTTAGTTTCTGCTTTATAACAAAGTGAATCAGTTATACATATACATATGTTCCCATATCTCTTCCCTCTTGCGTCTCCCTCCCTCCCACCCTCCCTATCCCACCCCTCTAGGTAATCACAAACCACCTAGCTGATCTCCCTGTGCTATGTGGCTGCTTCCCACTAGCTATCTATCTTACATTTGGTGGTGTATATATGTCCATGCCACTCTCTCACTTTGTCACAGCTTACCCTTCCCCCTCTCCATATCCTCAAGTCCATTCTCTAGTAGGTCTGTGTCTTTATTCCTGTCAACCCTGAAAAAACCATAATTCAAGAAGAGTCATGTACCAAAATGTTCATTGCAGCTCTATTTACAATAGTCAGGAGTTGGAAACAACCTAAGTGTCCATCATCGGATGAATGGATAAAGAAGATGTGGCACATATATACAATGGAATATTACTCAGCCATAAAAAGAAACGAAATTGAGTTATTTGTAGTGAGGTGGATGGACCTAGAGTCTGTCATACAGAGTGAAGTACGTCAGAAAGAGAAAAACAAATACCGTATGCTAACACATATATATGGAATCATGCACTTTTGAAGGGTATCTTTGACATTTTAAAGTTCATTTTGTCATTAAAAGCTAAGTGTATTCACAGAAAATCATTATATAATTATGGAGCTGCTGGGGAATAAAAGATTGTGGATATTTTAAAACTTAACTGTTAAGCAAGAAATATCTTTGGGGCAAGAAAAAAGCTAGTCTAATTTTGGTGCAATTTAGGTATTAATCCAGAATTTTGTGTTTTAACTAGAATAGTTTCCTAAGTGAGATAATGACTTTAGACATAAGTAAAATGGATGACACATGGAAGTACTACTCTTTCTGTTCTTTGGGCTTTTTAAAATAATAATTATTATTTTGAGCTTTTTGAAAATAGTTCTCTCTCAGAAAGAATTTTTTGTCACTAAAGGAAATTAAGCAATGACTAGGCTAGAGATTAGCAAGTTTTTCTGTAAAGGTTCAGATAGTAAATATGTCAGACTTTGTGGGTCATAAGGTCTTTGTCATAACAACTCAACTCTGGCTGTTGTAGTGTAAAATAGCCACAGAAAATATATAAACAAACAGGCATGGCTGGTTTTCAATAAAACTGTATTTATAGAAATTGGTGGCAGGTCAGCTTTGGCCCATGAGCTGTAGTTTGCAAACCTCTCAAGTACACTACCACTTATTCAAAACATTGTGAAGATTCATGTATTGGTCTAGATAACATCAAAGTCCTTTTCAGATCTGCAATTCAATGAAATTAGTAAGATGTGAGTTATAGTTTCTATGTGTATATTTACCCATGACTTATAAAACAGTAATCAACAATTGGACAGACATATTTCTTTTTCCACGTCATACGATCATGTCTTTGTCCAAGATACGTTTTCTATGGTAAGAAAACTATTAAAAGACTCAATAGTCATTTTAAAAAGCAAAAAAGGAAATCAGAAATATTAGAAACAAAGGTGTGGTGGCTCTATGAGTTATAGAAAAGGGGGTAATATCTTCACTTCCATATGGTAGAAATTTTACTTTTGCCCTCCAGTAACCCTTCAATTCCTCTTTAGCTAATAATTTTCTAATATCTCTCTGGGAAGAAACAAACTTTCCGAAGTCTAAGTCCATATGGTTCTGGTGAAGTTGATTCAATTCAATTCCAGAAGCTATCAATAGTATGTGACTTAGAGCTTAACTAATCAAAGTATTCCACTGTCCTAACCGTAGTCAGGACATTCCATGTCCTGTCCATAGATGGGCAGATTACCAAACAGAGATAACAAAATGCAATAAGAATCTTGTCTGGGTCTTCTGATAAAGAGATACCTGTTTCTTTCCACTAGACCTGACCTTAAGAGATCATAAGGTAGAGAACAGGTGTAGTCATTTTGTGACAATAAAGAGAGAGGCTGCATGAAAAATGGAGCATACACACATACACCCACATATATCATTATCATATCAGTTTCAGTGCATCAGATCTTTCAGGATATATGTACCATATATATTACAATAAGTATACACACACACACACACACACATATATATATATATATATATATATATATATATATATTACTGGGTCCTGATGACATCCTTTCAAGTTCCTTGTAACAAGCTGTGACTGAAACCAATTTAACATTTTTTTCAGTTATAGGCACCATAAATTCCCCTTTTTTGGCCTTAGCCAGTTTGAACTGGGTTTTCCATCAGTTGCAATCCAAAGATTGTTAACTGATTAATTCAAGTTCAACAGACTCCTGTCTTAAGCATTCATAATCAGAGAAGTCAAAAGTTTGACATATCTGCAT